CTCGGCTTCTCAAATGCAGCCCCCTCCCGGATCTGCGGCCCCCCGCAGCCGGCCCGGTTTCTGGGGTCTGCCGGGTTCCCCCAGATCCACTCGCCGCGTGCAGGGCGCGCAGCAAAGCCGTCTGACTTGAGCTTCAGACGGCTGGGGGCCGGGGGGGCTGCCGGCGCCTCCCGATGCAGAACCGCGGGGCCGCGCGCCCAACCCCGCATTTCCCCCAGCCCCGACCTAGGCTCCCGGGCACGGAGGTCCCCGCGCGCCGCGGCGCCCACGCGCGCCCTCAGCGTCCGCGCGCTGTCCCCACGCAAGGGACCTCAGCACTGCGGCCGCTGGGATAAGTCTTGGAAGTGGCCTCCCGGTGCCCACCCTCGCACTTCTCGCTTTGTCTGCCTCGTGGGTTCGGAATTTCCACCGGCTGTGGTCCCGAGCTTGGGTTCCTGTGTCCTAGCTTTCTCTAATGCCCCGGACAATTTTCCTTTCTTTCTTTTCCTAGACCAGCTTCCCCCTCAAAGTTCCCTGCCTTTCCCCAAAGTCAGGCATCGTACCCAAACGTTTCAGCCATCTAAGGTCTCCCATCTAGGATGGGAGAAAATGCTTTTTTTTCACCCTCCAACAATGAAAACTTACTTAACAGCCCCCCCCCCCACCACCATGAGCCATACAACTTTGGGATATGCAATCCCACAACCCTGCCAGCTTCCTGGCCCTTTACTTTGGTTCTTTAGAATGTGGGGTGCTTCAGGCAGGCCCCACAAACACGGGGGACAATTATCCCAGGTGTGTTCACAGGGTGCTGAGGGCCCAGGTCACCCAAGCACAGAGCCAGCCCGGGGACTGGGCTTTTTTTTTTTTTTTGTTGTTGTTCTTTTTCTACTCAGACTTTGTTAAAGATTCATAATTCCCAAACAGAATTTTCTCCCGTCTTTTAACATGTTGAATGCTAAAACACCACCTGGGTCCCTTAGCTGACAAGCATTTTTGTAAACTGCAAACACCGATTTCCAAATTCCAGCCGCAGGACCCTTTTCCCGAGTCCCATGTTTGCGTGTGCTGGGGCTCCTTCCAATATTAGGCAATGTCCTGCAGCCCCCCAACACATTCAGTATTATACGTGGGTCATGGAACGGCCCTGTGTGCTCTGGCTGGAGTGCAGGCCACGTACCCAAAGTCCCCCACACTTAGGCAATATTTCCTGCAAACACTGAGCTGGCCCTTCAGGTCACCAATGCAGAGCACTGATTCTCCAGGCCCTAAGATTTAGGGACTTTTAATCCCTTTTCTTAGAACTTAGATGATGAGCCCCCTACTCCCCCCCCAAGACCCCCACACAGTCCTTAAAGAATTTCAAGCAACTTTCCTGGATCCTTGGGTTAAAAAATATGTATTTTCCTTAGATTCAGAAAATGTTTACAGTCCAAAAAAAAAGGAGAATTTTTCCCTCCACAGAAAACACAGCTTTTATAAAATGTTAATGAACTTTGTACAACTTTATGACCACCCCCATCCGGAGTCTCCCTAAATTAGGTCAGGTTTCATGGGTCCCCCCTTAAGCACAACAACAATAACAAAATGTTCCCGGGTCCCAGAAATCCCAGGTTTTAAAGATCCCATAAATTTCCTAGCTACTAACTCAGCCTCCTGAAATTTAGATGGTAATCTCCTTCCCCACCTCACAGATCCCCAAAACTTGGAACGCGTTTTGCTGGGATTTCCCAGCAAAATGTGGCCCAGGAAAACCTAGAGGATGCCCCCCACATTTCAACAACAAAACCAAACCAAAAACTAAGCCACACTTACTTATCAAATTAAATCAGAAAAGGACATTGCTCTCCCCGACCGCCTTCCTCAAATAGACTGCTTGCACTCTGGGTCCCCCCACTCTCTCCCTAAAATTTTAGTGGTCTCCAAACTGTAAGCTTGAATGATTTCCCCCAACTTGACGGCTTCTCCCCGCATCTGCCGTGCCCAGACAGGTCAGTGCGCTCATTGATCTACACACCCAACATGTGGACGTTGATCCCTGCTCCCCCCCAGCACTAATAAGAATCTGCTCGGAGCCCCAACATGCGCCTGCTGTCTCTGCCCCGCCGGGGAACGTGTCTCCCAGGTTCCCCAGATTTCATTTTAAGAAATTTCTTTGACTTGACAAAAAAAATCCCAATCTTTGCAAATTACTCTTGAATTTTGTGAGCCCCCCAAAAAACTTGCCGATCAAGTTTCTGGGCTCCCCAATTTTAGACTTGAGTCCCTAGTCCCCCTCCAAGCCCACGGAGCAATTTCTCTCATCTCCCACACTTGAACTCCATTTTGGGGGAGTCTGAGATTTACTCATTAATCACGACTCCCCCCTCCCCTTAACAAAATCTTCCCCCGTCACTCTGCCTCTCCGCTGCAAGCCGGACAGAGCTCTGCATTGGGGTGCCCGGTTTCGGGGCACGGTCTTTGACCTGCCAGCCGCCCTGGGCAGTCTCCCCGGTCCCCCCCGCGCGCTGGCACTGGCTTAGCCTCCCGTTGGATTTTGGACACCTCTGTGTGTGCCCGGCACAACCAGGACAACGGTGCGACCGCTCGGACGTGAGGACGTACGCGCCGCGGCTCCCGCGCCCCGGGAACCACTGGGCATTGCCCCCAGTTTCCCCCAAATTTGGGCATCGGTACCCGAGTCTTCCAATCGACTGGGCGTTGCCCCTGGACACCGGGGACTGCCCCCCCGGGGTCCACTCACCTCCAGCAGCGTCCACTGCCCTCCACGGGGAGTTCGGCCGCCCTCCTCGGCTCCTCGCGCGCCTGCAGACGTCGTTCCCGACCTCGCGGTGAGCTCCCCGCGCGCGCGCGCCGCTGCCTCGCCCGGCGTTCGCTCTCCTCCCGCTGCGCCCGGGAGGCCCCGAGAGCGGCACGGG